AATATTAACTGGGTTGCAACGCCCCAACGTGTTAACTATTAAGGGTATGCATCAGACACTGATGAAAACAAACATATGACACACGGGTGTGTAGAACAAATAGCTGTTTGATGGGTTTGTTGGAATAGAGGACTGGTAAAACGTTGTTCAGTTTTTAAAATACACTATTACGCCTGCTATTTTTAACCAATTGTTTTTTGTATAATAAATCAATGACTTTAGGAAATAATTCAGATTAAACTTGAACATTTGAAAACGACGATCAATTTATTTATTTAATCATATCAATTTATTTATGCTAGACTATGTTACAGTCGTTGATAGAACTCGAAGGAGTTTTTCAGTGTTTTACAACAAACAAAACTAAGCACACAAATGTGATAAAAAAGCATTTATTGTATTTTTTTAAGAGGGAAAAATCTAGTGTCAGATTCTTACTGACTAAAAACCACCCCGTTCTTTCTCCTGCACTTCGAGCCGGAGTCCCGGTAACCCGTTAGGTAGTATGATCATGTATTAGGATACTATGATCGCTTTGACCAACGACCACAAATCTAACAAATCAAAGAAGAGCATAGATAACATTAGTCAACAAATCATCAACAAGTTCGCGAGCCAATTCGTCGTCCATTAGTGCAGTGAATCACGCTAAAACTTTCGAGCCATTGTGCACTAAACCTTTGTGCGGATCGGCATCACGATTGATTTGACGTACAAAACGTGCACTTATTTGTACAATCGAACAATACACGTCGACAGGTTGTACAGAATGTACAGATGCGCCTACACATGTTTGGGGAATACGATATCTAGTGTTTCGTGTGTTTTTTACTAAATGAAAAGGAGATTTTGATTAGAATGATTGATTCCCTGTCAATGCGGTCTCCTGGGCTATAATTTTGTCATAATTGGTTTGGGAGGTTTTTGTTTTATTTACTTTGCTGGGGTGCTTTTCAATTTCGATATAAATATTAGAAAAAAAATATAGTAAACAAACAGAATTTAATAAATCATAATAATTTCTTACTCCATTAAGGTTCATTATTACAACAGTCTAATAGAAAATTACAAACCATACAATAATTTCCCTTTTAATACATTGTAAACTGAATACAAGCTTTTTAATCCCCTCCCTCGATAATTCAAACAAACGACACAAAATGCAAGACGAAAACGTGCAACCATGAATAATGCATGCCCTGTATTTCAACAGGACAATACGAGTTTTACGTAAAGCCTTGTCGCCCTCGCTTCACATGCAAAAGGAAAAACTAATATCGGACGTTGTTTTCGGCCGTCAATAGATGGCGTTAGGTGTTCGGAGAATTTTTCGAAAAAGTTTGTTACAAATAAAATTTTCAATTATAACGTTATTTGGGGAATTACAGAAAATCGGTGAAGTGTTTGTTTTTGTAGTTTCTTTTATTTAAAAAAATGTAATTGTTATCTTTTCAAATGCGATCTTGAAGTACCCACAAGGCGTATGGAGAAGATCGCATGGACAATTTCGACCTTCTAAATGAGTTATTACTTATTAGGTACACTTCTTTCTCGTAGTTCATCCTGTTTGCCAAAAACACTAATAACTATTGGAACCCATCAAGACAAATATTTAAAATTATAGGTACAAAATTTAAAAAAAATCAAACTGTACAGCGAACAAAAACATCTTCAATATTAACAAATAGGTGTCTAAAACCGAGTACACACCGCATCGCACGGGCCGAGTTGAAAAAAGCCGAGGGGGAAAAAATAGAAAATGTCGTTTCCTCTCGCCGTCACCGCCAGAATGGCCGTGGCCGGTTTTGCTCGTATTTCCATACTCTTCCGCTCGTGTCCTCCCATCCCTATTTCTGGCCGTTTTTAAATTTCGAATACGAAACTGTGCTTACATTTGAGCTGTTGATTATTTTCGAGAATACCCCGCTGTGTAAGCTTCTGTTGGCTGATTGCGGCGATTTTTTTCTTTCGTCTTTAAGTCGTGGTTTATTTTTAATCTGTGCTTCAGAGTTTTGGGCTCGCTTCTGTAAAAGGGCGATGGACTGTACCGAAGTGGATGCATGCTTAACTTGTTTTCAAGTTGTTTTTATTAACGTTCATTCGTTCATTACAACATGTTGAAAAAGACTTCTACCATAATTTTGTGGGACACCTTTGAAGTTCTTGGTTGTCCTTTATAATCAAATTGCGATGTTGAAACAATAACGTCTAACGCTTGTCATCTTAACGTCTCGAGGTACAGAACGACAACAATCGTGCCGTACTGTCAAACAATCCACCTACGAAACCACTTCTCACTTCATAAATTAATATTAAACTGATTCAATAAATCATGATCCTGACGAGAATCCAGAATGATCAATTTGCAATCAGAATGAGCTCTTTACAAACTATGGAGTGGGATCCATCGCTTACCATAATAGTAATTTACTTGTGCCAAATTCAATGGATTGTGCTAAACAATGGTGTCTTAGAGCAATGACGTAATCGTATATTACTATAGTTATAACACAAAGGTGTTTTGTTACTTACAACGTTAATTTAGAAACGGTAAATTGTATTTAATGTAACGTTGATACAGTTCTGTTTGGATTGATTCAGTGTGGCTTTAATTAAAATGTTGTTTGAGGATGATGGTTGAATAAAATTCTATTAGAAAACCTAATAATAATGTGTCGTTGAAGAAAGAAATGATGTCGAGGACTTTATACGTTTGTACTTAGAGATGTCCATTTAACAGTTTTTCTGATGTCATAGGGATTTTCGAAATTCAAAAATTTCAAATAGTGTTCGAAGCAACCGACCATCAGCGTTCTTTGTTTTCTATGTATTTTACTTCAAATTACTTTTTTTAGAATCAACATCATTCTTAGATATTTAATCCATTTAATATCAAACCTAATCTGCACTACATAAGGTTTATTATTAAGTAACTGTTCTATGTATGCCTATTATAGTGAGCCCACAAATAGTATCAGTACATAGAGAATTATTTACGTTTTATATCAGTGTGCTTTGTTTGTAGTTTTGATCAATATACTGCTATTTCAGATATTATAACTTGTAACGACCATGTTATGTTTTAGTATTATGTAAATTATTAAAAAAATCATATTTTTGCTAAAAGGTTACAGCTTAGGTACAGGAGGGACTATTAAAAAATGTTATCATAATTCATTTAATTTTGGCATTTAAGCGAAACAAACATAGGTATATCGATCTGAGACCACGGGTGCATAGAGTAGAGTCTCTAGGTGCCCACCCAGTGGTCTCAGGGAAGACGGTGGCACAGTGATTACGTACCGCCGTACACAGCAAAGCCCAAAGGAGATACCCGTCTCCTTAGGGATGTGTTGTAACAGACACCGTGGGGCTTCGGAGCAGGTCTCTTTTAGAGAACCTGGTGCCTCTATACAGGTGTTGAGGTGACCACCAGGGTGTTTGGTGAGGTATAAATTCCATCCAACACTATCTAGTCTTTTATCCCCAAAAAGCTAGGTGCCTTTTGATGAAGATTTACCCCGGTCATCAAAAAAATATCTACATCTATAGTATAGTAAGCCAAGTGTATCGCCATGGTACAAATGTGTGAGTAGGTGTACGTTTACCTGTGTATATCATTTATAACATAACATAACATAACTTCACGCCTTTTATCTCCGAAGGGGTTTTTTTTTTTTAAGGGGGGAAAATCATCGAATGACTGCTCCCGCCTGGGTGAGGCGGGAGGGAGTGTCAGACTCTTACTGACTAAAAACCACCCCGTTCCTTCTCCTGCACGTCCAGCCGGAGCCCCGGTTACCCGTTAGGTTCTCCGCGACTCATCTCCGAAGGGGTAGGCAGAGATGTACATTAGGCACTTAATGCCACTTTAGGTATAATGTAACACCTACTTTTCACTATTTATGTCATGAGTCCCATGTAATAGGGGGTGCGCCTAATACCATATACCGCGCACAACTCCAGACTCCGTGCTACTACTGATAATTTTAAAAACTCAGTAGTACTTTGCCCGACCCGTGAATTGAACCCGAGACCCCTTGCCCGGCAGTCGCACTTGCGATCACTCGGTCAACGAGGCAGTCATTTATAGTGTACTAGCGACCCGCCCCGGCTTCGCACGGGTGCAATATGTATATACATACAAACCTTCCTTAAGAAACACTCTATCTATTAAAAAAACCGCATCAAAATCCGTTGCGTAGTTTTAAAGATCTAAGCATACATACAGGCATACAGCGAAAGCGACTTTGTTTTATACTATGTATTGATAGAATTTTATTTTTAACCTGATATAACCTTATTAAATGGTACCGTTTTCATGTTGCGTGGGTTTTCGATACTTTTCTCCTTCAGAACATAAATAGACCCATTATGGTATATTTCTAAATACAATAATTGGATACATTTTCACCTACATTGTATTTTTTCTTCAGTAATTACTTTACTTGTGGGTGTAATGTGTAATATGTAAATATTAGCAGTCATGTATTGGTTAAGCGTACCTGTGATATAAATAAGGTTCGTTTACCATATAAGATGATTAGGTGAAGCACTCGTATAAACATAACATCACATCTTTTATCCCCGAAGGGGTAGGTAGAGGTGCACATTATGCCACTGTACAATGTAACACCCACTTTTAACTATTTATGTTATGAGTCCCATGTAATAGGGGGTGAGCCTATTGGCATATACCGGGCACAATTCCAGACTCCGTGCTACTACTGAAATTTTTTTAGGAACCCAGTAATACTTTGCCAGACCCGGGAATCGAACTCAAGACCTCTTGCCCGGCAGTCGCACTTGCGACCACTGAGGCACTCGTATATGACTCAATTATTGTATCTCTGTTGAAACAATCATTCATCCGTTGTCCAGTATTCACTCATCAATCATTATCATCCATATCCCAAGACAGTCCACTGTCCACGAACGTGTCCTACATCCTACATATAAGCCTATAAACAACATGTAATAACTATTAAATAAACACTCACCTAATCTCTTAGAAATCTCCGAATTATGCATCTTCGGGTTATCCTGAGCAATCTTCCGCCTCTGTAGCCTCGACCACACCATGAAGGCGTTCATAGGTCTTTTTATATGTTCCTCCTGGACTTTCTTCTGCTGAGGTCCGTTCATCGCGGAGATCGAGCTCATAGTCCCTATGGCTCCCATGGCGGACATGGGGCCCATAGGGAAATGCCCCATGGATGACCCGAAGCCAGTTCGGTCGCACATCGCACCAGCGGCACTGGAAATAGAATTGGTATTGATTAGTTTGAAGAAGGTTGTCTACCATGTGCTTCGTTGTTTTCGTAGTAGGTATGAATTTTCGATACAAAGCAGTTAGTAATTGAAGTAGTATATAATAAGTATATTTAAAAAATACTAGGATTCTGTAATTAAATCTGGATATGATACTACCAATTAGATACCTAAAAGGAACATCAAAAATATTGTTAGGAACGTTTCTAAAAAAAATGAGTTTATTTGATTACAATGATATAATCTGGGAAATACCAAATCACACTTAAGTATCCTATATAATTATAAATGTGAAAGTTTCTTTGTTTGGATGTTTGTCCGTCAATCACGCTGAAACTGTAGGACGGATTTTGATGAAATTTGGTACATGAGGGGTTTTTAAGGGGGGAAAATCATCGAATGACTGCTCCCGCCTGGGTGAGGCGGGAGGGAGTGTCAGACTTTTACTGACTAAAAACCACCCCGTTCCTTCTCCTGCACGTCAAGCCGGAGCCCCGGTAACCCGTGATTCATCAACACCCATTCAGGTTCTCCGCGACATACAGGCAGGCTAAGGGTTGAATTAGATAATAGGACTTTTTATCCCGATTAAATGCTCCCATGGGATAAAACAGGAAGATGCGGGCAAAACCGATGGTAAAAGCTACTAGAGACATAGATCAATTTTGCATAAGTAGGTATATTTTTCAACAAAAATAGGGTTCAACCATAATTCAAGAATATCTATTACAAACTAACAGTAGCAACGACCAGTTCCATTACCCTATTTACCCACTACATGCATCATCACGCATCTAATAAAACACCATAAAATATATTAAAAAGTGACGCTTCTAAAAAATTAATAACCGTATCCATGGTACCAGGAGTTGTAATCCCCCACCCACGTGCAGTTTGTAACTTTTAATATGGCTGACAATTATCGTGCCCAAAAATGTGGAAAATATTAATACTGAGGGTGTTATAATAGCTTATGACGCAGGGATGGTTTTAAAGAGGCCTTCTGATTGGCCCTCCCCAGCCCTCAATACGGGGCTCCTCAAGGAAGACGTTAAGAAGTAAAATGTGCAATTGAATTAATGAAAAGCTTATGTTGTTATTTTTGAGAGGTTCGGTGATGTAAGAATATTTGGGGATTATCGTTTTGAATGTTTTTCAAGAGTCTTCACTCATTGCGAAGATTTTTTAACCGATTTCAAAAAAGGAGATTCTCAATTTGAACTATTTATGTATGTATGTATGGATGTTTGTGCGTTATTATCTCGCGATTGGCTGAAGCAATTTTGATTCGGTTTCCAGAACAGTGTTTGTTGAACTTAGGAGAAGATATTTTAGTACCTATATTAATGAACCGACTTCAATAAAATGAGGTTGTACTATGGTTTTATAAACGTAGTTTGAAAAAGAATTGTATTAACTCTATGAAACTCAGAATATGTTATATGAACGCTTCTTGGACACTTACTTCGATTGCATTTTTGTATCACATAATTATCAGATAAATTGGTCACAAATTGAAAGAATTAACTATCAAAGCAAAGTTAATTATGTTGGTATAGAAATAAGACCCATAATTATTATTTATACTATTTAAAATTCTACTTTCGTCTTTGAATATACCATTTACAAATAGGTAGGTACAACTTTGCCCAACATTATGATTGTATCAAATTAAATATGTTAATCTTCACCATACAAACAAGAATGACTCCACTAATCCCCATCCAAATCCCGGATTACCAAAAAAATATTCATTTTCAAAAAACTATCATTCATCTTTAAAAAACTGAACCGTCTTTGCGGTTCCTGGAAGGCTGGTATTTGGGTCAAAAAGGGTGTATTTGTCCGCGGAATGTGTCAATATTTGTCACCGCTACTGGCCGGTATTTGGCTCTGTTATTCTTAACTCCGGACACCCTATTAGCATTAGGCGGCATTATAACGTTTTAACAGCAATTAACGTTACTACTGAATTGTTTTTTTAGAAAATAATGGTAGTGTTTAGGATTTGGATAAGATTCTAATTAGATCTGATATTTAATTCTAGTTAGAGGTGTTTATCAATGAAATATTCTTGTATTGGCAAATTAAAATATCACTATAGTTATTGAATGTTAACAAATCAAACAATATTAAGTAAGGCACAATCATTTGACTAGAGATTTGCGTAAACAATACTTAGCTATTTGATTTGGTGAATAACACTGTCTACATACCTATTTAAAAATTAGACGATATAATAATTCTTCTCTACTTCACCTCGATAACGATTATAGGTATAGTGTAAACAATTGTTGGTTAACCAAAAAATAAATAAATAAATAACTTTCTTTAAGAAATTCTTCTTAACTCACAACTCTTGTAATTAGTATAAAATACCTATCGTTTGTTAAAACAGATTAAAAATAATTACCAAGCATCGACCAAATCAATAAAAAACTAACATGCAAAAGTTCTAAATTTGAATATTAAAAATGAAATTCTTGCCGGCCAGTCATTGATACAATAATCCAGCCAGTACAAATTGAAAAGCAAAATGAGGATTTATTAAAGGTGTGATTTTGACACCGATGTTGTCATTATTGTTCATTAGCAAGTGACGGGGTTTCTTATTATTAGCATACTTTTTTAATTGTGTAACAGAACTACAAATCAACAAAAGAATTATCCTCCAGACTATCACTCCAGTCAGTAGCGATAGATACGTACCCTATAGTAAACGTGTCCAAATTTCACAATTTATTGCGATAATTAAAGGTCACCTAATTAATAGAATAAGGAAAAGATAAGGGTGGGGATAATCGAGTAAGAATTAAGAATGAATTCGAAACAAAATCAGAATGGAATCGTTTTGGGGAGTACGCCTACAGAGTCCAACAAATTTTGGTCAAAACCCTTGGACGGAATATTTTCGAAACATGCCAATGTCCCTTCTACTAGGTATTTTGTTACGAGACAACATAGTCATCTTTTTTCAACAAACCCCGGACCAAACTAAGCCACAGTAGTGTACAAATAAGCTACTGTAAACTACTTATGAGCCGTAAGACATCGCCGCTGCAAACAACAAGAGAATTTGTCTTGACAATTAACGACCAGTCGTCGAACCTTTGAGATTTCGCTTGGAAGTTCGAAAAATGCACTTACATATTGAATGTTACATTCTTTGAGCAATGGTTCCGTTGGTTTTCAATTTATTGTTGTGGTTGATATTTGAGGATTTTTGTCTTTCTTAGATTTAGTTTTAAAAGGGATACCTACAACTACAGCCTTTCATTCCCATTCAATAGATGAAGGTGAATTTTGTGAAACATGGGATAGGTAATACATGACTCCATGCTAATAATCACAAAAATTTAAAGCCTAGAAAATCTTTGTCGACACTAGTTCCAATTCAAGATTAGACTTAAGAGAACTATCGTTGACCAGTAGTTCAAATATCTATCGACAAACTTGAGTAAAATAAATCTCCAAAGGACAAACGACAAAGCAACCTTAAAAGAATCACAGTCCTTTGTCTCAAAAAAAAAACATTCTGTCAGAAGGTACCTAAGTGAAATCGGCGCTCGTTGAGAGGTACTAAATAGATGCGTACACGCACGCATGATCTACTGTTTGTTGCCGGCGAGAACACAAGCTTGTGTTAAAATTTAACCGACTGCGAAGGTTTGAGTAATGAGGTGGTAATAAGAATTATAGATGGAGTTATTGATTTTTGAATTTGTCTTCATGTCATTCGTAATAAGTCATTCAAGGTGCTAATGAAAGGTAAAATGGTTGATGTTTCCGATGGAGGATTGAAAGAAAGACTTGAGACAGGTGATAATTCAGATGGCCTAGAATTTAAATAGCCGCAAGGTGATTCCATTGATAAAATCTATGATGATTGTATTTCACCATACACCGTTTCGGTAGCTAATGTCAATCTTGTCTACATTTGAATAGATATCGTGAAACCTGTCTAGTCTGGCAAAATAGCTGGCGACTGTTCTTTGAAAAAGCAGTACGGCAGTAGTAGAAAGTATAGGTATGGGTCATAAATAGTGAAGTTAATTTAGTTTTAACTAAAGCAAATGAGCCTAAACTAAATCAAAGATCAAATACTGATATGAGGTTGATCGAACTATTGAGCAACGTGATCAAACCCAGTGGAAGAAGCACATCAACAAGACAAATTAATCCAAACCGGAAAACGTTGCCAAAAAAAAAAAAACATTTCTCTTCTTACAACTGACGTCAACATATTAATCTGAACAGCTCATAAGAGAATAAAAATCGTCGGCAGACTACAAAGACTAATCAGAATTGTAAACCTGTAAATACAGGGTCTTTACGACCCCTATATAAAGGAGAGGCGATTGTGCCATCATTAGGCATCAGTTGCAAGCACTAATTGGTTTTGTACCATTGCCGATCTGTGGGGATCCGTGAATAACAGATCTTTTTGTTCTTTATGACTTGTGTCCTTTGTCGTACAGTGTGGTAACGACAAAGCAGAAATCATATGCTTTGTCTCTTCTTCTAGTTATTACTGCAGCTGTCATTAGAGTCGACTAAAGGGACTAGACAATTAGAAATTTGACAGAGGCTGGGCAGCAACGCACTCGTATTAAATTAGGACTGCAATCTCTAAACCGAGTGACAATCGTGAAGATCTCATGAAAAACTCTTATGTAGAGGAGGCAAATAGTCCAGCAGTAGACAGTTGACTGACGGACTGTTGTTGTTGAGGTTGCGCACGCGTCACCACAAGAGACATTACATAACCAACAATGCGATTTTTTTCTCCTACCTTATGGGTACTGTGGACGTGTGTGACCCCTTAGGCAAATCAGAGGCGTCACGTCATTATTTATTTAACAACACTCAACTAAACTGTTTACACTTGTCTATGCCTCTGCTTGAAATGCTTTCAGAACCCGCTAAACAAATTAATTTCGCGCTTGCCAGTTTTTTACGCGGTCATTGTCTTTTAGTGTCGACAATTATTCACAAAAACCTCCAGTTCATCGTTTAATCTGCCTTTTTTCGTGTTTAAAGATCATTAATTCGTGTTTTAGCTTCTTTGATGATTTTTGAGATAAGTTAGTTTGAAAGGCCGACTCTTTTTTAAGTTTTATGTCGTGTAGGCATCTGTTATAGCGTGGTAATGAAATAAACCAAGAAGTTTGAGGAGTTTATGTAGATACCTTTCAATCTTAAATCTTTTTGCTATGAGAATCCTTCAAATTCTAATTTCAATAGATACTCAGTTTAGGCCCAAGCTGATATCGTAAAAAAGTATCGCAGGGTGTTGTTGATTGCATATATAAATTGCAACTTCTAGCTCGGCGTGAAAGACTAAGGGGAGACCTTTACATAGTTAAAGTTATCTACCATACATAACAAATTCTTATTGGAACCTTAACTAGAATTTTCAGAGACGTAAAAACAGAAGAACGACTTAAAAGAAAAATTGTGCCAGCGCGTAGCAACCAGTGACGCATGGGCAATGTCGCGGCGGCGGAGTTGCGTCGGTGATACTTATTTGATAAGAGTCAATTATATTTACCTATGTAGGTATAGGTACTACCTATTAACCCGTAAACTTAATAATCATTCAAATACATGGGATGTAGATTCAGCAGTCATTGTGCTGATAGTCGTATATCAGCCAATGGCCTCATTGGTAAAAGCCTCGACCAACACTTGAGTAGGCTAGCGTTAGATGGTCGGGTCAAGGGCCTGGTGAAGAAAGCAGTACCTAAGTACTTCTGGACTCGGCGCCGCGCGTATTGTCCGGAAATTACTCTTTATGGAGCCCCTGACCGCCGGTAGGTTAGATTTCTCCCGTTAAATAGGTACTGGTTAAATATTTAAAAATGTATAGATCAAGTATAAAAACAAATAAAGGAATAATTCAAATAATTGAAGAGCACATATAAATGAGAATGTTAGCTTGCTTCTTTCTTATATATAAACGACAAGAAGCCTTACATTCCCTAGTTACTACGTGCCAACCTATACCCATCTCTTTTATCCCTATTTATCCCGCCAAAGTAGGGGTGTGACCGGAACACACCCAGCCTCAGGGTCAAGGGGTCATCTTAAGGGTTACAACTACCATTTAATGACCGCCACTTAGGTAGGGGAGAGGTCAAAGAGGTATAAGTTCGATACGGATTCTTAATTACGCAACACTCAGTCGAAATTAATAGTATTGACGCTTTTAAGACATATTTTGATACAAATCTATATGTATCCATTACATCACATCTTTTTTGTCTATATTTGATGGGCCGACGTTTGACCACTATCTCGTCTGGTGGTAACCGATGATGCGGTCTACGATGTAGCAACCTATTCACTCGGGCCTTGAAGACCTTTTTACCCCGAAAGCAATAGACAGGGGTGCACATACACCTCTTGCCTTTCTTATAATTGTAAAATCAGTTTGTTTTATGGTGTTTCACGTACCTAAATGTGAGATGAGCATATTGCCACATGACTACGATACATGACACACAATGGGTAATGTTAATAAAGTACCCAAGCAAAACTTATAAAAAATTTGATAATTCGCTAAGTAATATCTATTAAAAAACAATAGATAATTAACGAGTTTATTTAAAATACGATTTAAAAATAAAATAGAATGAAAGATACAGTTATGACAAAGGGATTTTTAAGGGGGAAAATCATCGAATGACTTCTCCCACCTGGGTGAAGCGGGAGGGAGTGTCAAACTCTTACCGACTACGGAGAGATACGCCTTGAATAAATAAATTCGTAGCTTCGCGGCCCTCGCACCCAAGTAGGTAGGTACTTGTCAATTTAATATTTAAATATTATTTAGCTGAGCAGAAGTTATTCATTGTCTGTTTACACAATAGCTTATACTATGTATTAGGTATAGGTACATACTTAAATGCACCAATTATGGTTACAGCTGTTGTTAACCTGTTGTAACTAGGTAGGTTGTAGCACCAAATAAAAGTTATTAAATGATAATGAACAATGCACACGTGCTATGAATTTATTTATTATGCTAAATAACGAAACAATGCTAGAGTAAATCAACATTAAATAAACACATGCTGGGCAGTCTATAGGTAGGTAAGTATGTACCTATTTATTTAGATTGTAGGTATTAAAAGTACGACCTTGACATTTAAAAATATGGTGGAGGGATAATACATAACAATATTACGTCCAAATAAAAAAGCAGGAAAGGTAACTACAATCGTATCGTGGAACAAACAGCAAACAAATCGATTTGTCACAAGTTCATCGACCATCGGCGGTGTTTCGACCTCAACAGACGTCGACAGCGTTCATTAAAACGGCCAACTGACGTTTTTCAACAAGACAATAACTGTGTTTACCTCATAAAGTGCCCGCTGGCACGCTGATGTAACTCCAGATCCACGATGAAGCCTTTCAATCACGTTTCAAAAAAGTCCCGCCGGCACTACACACACAAATCTCAATACGAAAAACAAACAAATTATCAGTAATTATAAACAACTGTTATCATTGTATACGTTACTGTTATTACACGATCGATTAACTCGGTTTGCGTTATCGTATCGCGTGTTGCAAATCAAACGAGCGCGAGCTCCGCGCGTCCGTCGCTCGCTCGACACAATGGCGACAATCGACAATCGCGCGCCGCGACTGCGGTGACGCCGCTACCGACAAATCGAGTGATAAACCCGAGCGTGCGGGCCAATCCGCGCGCTCCACTACGCCCACGAGTGCGCGCCGCGCCTCCCCATTGGCCAAGCAACTGCCATTGCCTTACGGATGTTATTATGCAGAACGAGACCAACAGTTCGAAATAAGAATTTTAAACGTTTACTAGCCGGGCGTACAATGCAAATTGGTTGCGCGCGCTCCGCGCCGCGGTCTCACTCTGATGCGTCGTCTTTTTGTTTATGATGACTTGGTGTATGAAACAAGAATAAGTTCGTATGACAGCCTGCAGTCGTCTCACCTCAACCACTCAATGGCCACTTAGCGTTATTCCGTATGCTGCTTATTGAGAAAACAAAACGGGCTTCTGTTTATTTATTGAGAAATATACCTATGAATAGTGTCTATAGTCAGTCGCAATGGATGCCCGCCAAGTTTAGAAAGGAAAACAGTTGTAAATATGTATTACATACATATATTTACGTGTGTTTTGTTACACGTTCATAACAATTAAATCTTTAAGCAGGCATAGGAAAACAAAATATTTACGAGTTACTTCAAAATATCTTACCTTATTAAATAACTTGCTAAGTAGGCACATGTGACATAAGGGGTCAAACACATGACCCTGTGGCACCAACGAGACATATAATTGATCAACTTAAAGCAAAATATGTAACTATAACTCAAACAGAATAACACGTATGGTGTAAAGTCTAACAAGATTTATTTCTTAGTAGAAAATCATATATGTTCCTAGCCTCATACTTACTTGGTAAATAATGATATCTCAATTTGTTATAACGGTCACAAAATTAATAAAACACGTGAATACATTTCATATATCAATTTGGATGTAGTAAGTAAGTAGTACCTAATACCTAACATCTTACATTAAACACCTGCTTCGAGAGATTGGACATCTGAACTTGGAAAAAGTATGGCATCGAATTCACATTTCTATTTGACGTAAATAAAGAACACTATAATATTATGAGGACAGTACAATGATAAGTTAATATTGAAAATAATTGAAATGGTAATGGAATATTTTTCCAATACCTATAACCCAGAGTCTTATTGGAATGAAATGAAATCAAAAAAACTCAAACCATTTCTTGAAAATGAAACAATAACTCATCATCCCCTTCATATAAAACAGTATATAATATTAAAATTAATTAACTCAACTAATGTCCATTTTTCAGCTTATTTTAATGTATATTCTTACTGAAATTTGGTCAAGAACGATGTATTTAGAAAATATTACACTAACATTAAATCACAGACGATGAAAAATAACGCGGACATAATGCCACTTAGACATGATTGAAGCACCATGATGTCAGTGAGTTATTTATGTGTGCGTGTGTAATTACCAGACTTAAGAAAACTTCGATCAACAATAGTTGCTATTGTTGATCGAAGTAAGAAAATCAAAGATGTCCTTCGTGTCAATGTGTCTATGTTCTGCGTGCAACTATATAGTAGCCAGGTGCCACAGTTGTTGTTTATAAAATCTAGCTTTTTTCAACATCAAACTTGGTTTGAATCTTCCACAACATATTTTTTTGTTTCCCTTGATTAGTTATTTGTATTGACATTAGAGATTCAAGTAACCGAAGGCTCCTAAAACGAGGTTGGTTAACCTACCATTTGTGTCTATATTCGTTTGTACTTACATACAATACCTACTCAATATTTCCTTAGTGTCCACATGGATGGAATGTCAATAAAACTGTTTATCAGGTGAAAGGTTTAACGGTTAAAAATATATTATATTCCAACATATTTACTTAAATTCACCACTAACTATGATACCGCAGGTAAATTCTAAAATATCGGAACACAAAGTTTACTTCACGAATTCAAATTCATATTTTCACATCATTTGACACAATATATTCTTAAAAAATACAATAACATATCGATTACTAAACTAGGAGACCGTTGGAATATTTTAAGGTCAAGAATCGATACATAATAATGCAATTTTAACATCAATAGAAATCATAACGGAAGCTAGATTAAAGAATAACATTCTGACGTACCGAAGAAAGCATCATAACGGCTAAGGATCGATGCAATTTCTATAAAGATTAGCATATGTCTATCATGTACGATATGATCCAATAAAACTACAATACAAAGTTAAATGCAAATTTCGTAAGTGATACAAGATCGATAACAAATCTGTAAAAAGGATCAGAAACGTCATAAGTAGGTTTGCTTCAAATTCAAATGAGGTTTGTCATGAAATTGACATGGCCACGGAAAAATGGGAGGCCATTTAAAATTATGAATATTGCACAATGGACGCGTTCGATAATTGAATTGTAACTTTGTGTGAAATGTTGGCGACACGAGGGCAGCGGGTCGCGCCCTAAGGGCGGCGGAGTGACGTGTACGCACAATGCGGTCGACAATGCAACATACGCAAATTAACTACATACATTTTTATTGGCAATAAAAATCTATTGAGCGATTCGTGTCGCAGTGTACATGTGCCGTTGATAAAAGAATTTAAAATGTCGATAAATGATTTTTACATATGACTAGGGTAGCAAAATATGCAGATTCGGTAACATGTGTAAATGCAGGTAGCTTTGTTATTTTTATTGCTTGGCTACTATCATTTAAATGATTTCATTCAATTCACAACGGAACTTAACAGACCGTTACAAATTCGTTTATTGATAAAGTGTTATAAATACTTAATTTAGCAAATGATCCATTAACTGGCTTGAATGCTAATAATGTAACAAATCTTATAATAACCCATAAATTGATTTTTTTATTGTATGTGAACACGTTTTTGCAAATAGGCATTATTAATGTTATGTATAGGTTCTTGACTACTATATCCTGTTGTTAAAATATATACTTCATTGGCCAATCACTTATTAAAGGGATATACAATTTATGTGAGGACTTAGTTATGATTTGATCGAGATACATAAAAACGATGGGCTTACATGTATGATTATTTTCTTTACAAAGGCGATATTCCAAAGAATCAATATTTTTTACAAACTATTAAATCAAGTTTGAATGTTACACTCAAATTATAACTGTATTCATACTTTAAATACATGTTTATTAATTTCTAAACTGGAATTAGTTTAAAAATTATATGTATCGATATTGAAATCAAACTCATAAATAAAGAAAAAGTACCTAACTAAACTACAATCAGTTCTCAATGTAACTTAGCAACAATCTTTTATTGCATTGTCTACCTCTGTATCCTCTGTTTTCTTTATAACTATTCTGCAAAAGTATCCGATATCAATTCAAGAAATTCTTAATACTCGTCTTATGTCGGCCATAAAGCTATCAGATTTTCCATGAAATCGCGTAACAACAAATAATTTCGATGCAGTCCCGATTCACCACACCGATCACAATAAAGTATCATTAGCATATCGCGCACTGCCTATGCACATGGCACAATGTCATATGTTAATACATTTCGCTCACAAAGGGATACAATTTCGCGTATTTGTTACACATTGTGCTACAAATAAATCCGTTATATCGATATTTTCATGCTAATTTTGATTTTTTAACAAATTCGAAATGTCGAACACAAATCGATGGTTCCTTTGTGCATAAACAGGCGTGAACGCATCGCTCTATTTTTGAAAATTTGAATTTAGTAACGTTTATTCTGAATTCGAATTTTTGATTGATTGGGCCTTTCTTATGCTAAAGTTCAAGGATGGAACGTCTAAGTGATTGATCCGTCATTGTACTGATTAATTGATATTTAAATATGTGTGTGATACGCTTCGATTGGATTATCACGGTTGAAGTCAATATGGACTACTGAAGAAGGTTCTCAAAATTGCATAAAATAAATTAGAATATTATTCTGTTATTCAAAAACTGTTAGGGAATAGGTGAATAGGTACCAACAAAGAGTAAATTCTGTTTCAATTGAATTGAAATCAATCTCTATCTCAACCAGACCTTTGTGTCTACGGTCTGAGTCACAGTATAATATGTCTCACAGAGTTAAAGTTAAAAATAAAGGTAAAATATGTCCAGTTATTTTCATGACCTTTCCTACCTAGTAAAGAAGGTTTTTTTATAGTCCAATTAATTTATTTCTTTTTGTTCTTCTACTATTTCTAAGGTCTCTGACCAATCCGGTGGAAAAATACTAAAGTAATAACAAAATGTCGCTCCGTACTTTAACTGTTTCCTGGAAAGCCTTAAACTAACCGCCCATAGGGATACCATAACATAACATCACGCCTTTTATCCCTGAAGGGGGAGGCAGAAGTGCACATTATGGAACTTAATGCCACTGTACAATGTAACATCCACTTTTCACTATTTATGTTATGACTTATGAGTCCCATGTAGGGAGACAGGGTGAGCCTGCTGTCATATACTGGCCACAATTCCAGACTCCGTTATTACTTATGAGTACCACGTAATAGGGGGTGAGCCTGTTATCATATACTGGGCACAATTCCAGACTTCGTACTAGGTAAGTACTGACTACTGAGAAATTTATTTAAAAAGTATAATACTTTGCTCGACCTAAGAATCGAACCCAAGGAGAGACCCCTTGCCCGGCAGTCGCACTTGCGACCTAAGTCCATTTGGAAGATATTCTCTTTACTCCACTAGATTAGTGTAGAACCCTAGTTTGACGGTTTACTCAAATTCCTCACCACTTTAATACCTGCACCACTCAATCTCAGCGTCTCTTAATGCTCGGTATCGACTACCTATCGAGTATCGATATAATGGCGGTACATCGAGTGGACGTGCGTCTGATTGATTCGATTGATGATGCTTATCGACTCGTCTTTTTGGGGTGGGTAATTTTTATTGTCTGTTACTCTTGAATTTTGTCGTATTATGTCACTTTCAGAACTACTGCGAATGATGTGTTTGTGTTTCGATTATTGTGCGATTCTTTTTTGAAGTGGTTCGATGT